CTTCCCACTGCTGCCAAATGCAACAAGTTGCACTTAGCAGCAGCGGTGTATATGCTTCTTCAACCATGCCCTTACATATCTATGTTTCAACATCTCATGAACAATCAAAACACTTGGATGTCATGCTCATATTATAGGGGCTATACTGTAATTGTCTTTCAATATCACGAATCCGATGTCCCTCTCCCATGTCTATACTGTTCAAAAAAACAAAGAAAAAGAAAAAAAAGAAAGACCTTACTGATGTCTCTCACTTTCTTATCCAACTCTCTAACTCCTATAAAAAAACCAACTCATATAGCCATATTACCATGTAAAGTAACAAAATATACACACAGCAGCACGCCGACAGTGGAACTAGGATGACTATCCCTTTCTCTCTCCTCTTCCTCCTTTCACTACTGTTTATCCAGCACCACCACTGCCAAAAAACCCAGTGATGCATCGCAGGACCTCCTCCGTTCGTCGTGTGTTTCATGCAAGTTACCCTAACCTCTGCCTCAGAACCTCTCCTCCTATTCAGGCCCTGCGAACACCCCAAATGAACTAGCCCAAGCTGCAGTAAAAGTGAGCCTCTCTCTAGCCCTTCGGGCGTCGAATGACCTAGCAAAGCTTCGAAGCCAAAGCAAGAGAGAGAAAGGGGCTTTAGATGATTGTGTACAGCAGATGGGTGACTCGGTGGATGAGCTGAGCAAGACGTTGTCTGAGCTGAAGCATCTGCACAGGGGGACATTCCAGTGGCAAATGAACAATGCTGAGACATGGGTGAGTGCGGCCTTGACGAATGAAGAAACTTGTCTTGATGGGTTTAAGGAGGTTGGTGGGAAGGTCAGGTCTGATGTGAACCATAAGATTACAAATATAGCCAGAGTTACCAGCAACGCCCTGTATCTTATCAATCGTCTCGATCAGGCCCGAGGGAAGAAGGCTCCTTGAAAATGAACTGTGTCGCCAAATATGTAGCATATATGTTTGCTGTCTGTGTGTGTGTGTCTGTGCGTGTGTTTGTGTTTTTTTTTTTTGGAGAAGAGAGGGGGGGGGGGGGGGGGGGTATGTACTCTTTTATTTGTGGTTATGTGTACAATCTTACAATTAATATAATGTTTCAACTTCTTCCATGACATTTTGTTTGTCTAGAAGGTTACCCACAAGAGTAACATTATAACCACCGACGAAGCAGCCTAGTTAGCTCTCAACAGTGGCTGAAAGTCTCGTCCTCCTCCTCCAGTGACCGTGGGTTCAAATTCGCTTGCGATAATAGTTTCTATGAATCAAATATTATTGAAAAGATTGTATGTCTAACTTACCATCGGTGGTATTGTAATGATAGACTCGACTATCCTAGGCCAGTAACTATAGATCAAACCAACCATTTTACCGCAAGTAAAAATCTCAAGGTAACATTTTGAGAGATTGCTCCGACTAATCTCCCCTGACCACCAAAAAACAAGAATAACGTTATAGATTTGTTGTTCTACATTTCGCCTTTTGTTTTGGCATGTTGATTGGAGGAAGAGGCTTTGGCGACGAACTAATTTCGATCTCGTGATAAACTTTGTGCCCATGACAAGAACATACCACTCTCATGTAAGAAAGAAGCCACTCTTTTACATCACGAATGCCACAGGCATGCAGTCTTCTCAACATTTCAAAGAAAAGTACGATCACTTTCAGAAATCCCATCAGATACAGTTCACTATTTCCATTACACTCTCAAAGATTAAAAGATTTTTCATATTACACCCTCAATATATTAAAATATTAAAAGCATTATAATGTAATCTTTCCGTTGCTCATTCCGTCAAAAACTATCTCATTTACGTTGACAAAATGAACAACAAAAACTAACGGAAGAGCCATGCTACAATACTTTTAATGTATTGAATGTGCAATATGAGAAGTCTAATCTTTGAAAGTACAACGTAAAATTTTTTAAATCTTTTAAGGGTACAAAATGTGGTACCAGCAAACCTCTCCTGCATAGCCAAGTAGACAAATGAGAAATGTTTTTTGCTGAAGAAATGAAAGGACTCTGTTTCACATTGAAACAGCTATTTGGACCATCTCTACTTCTACATTGAACCAGCTAACAGAACAGAGCAGTTGGGAGTTAGAGAAGATAGCAAAATCAACTAGACAGTAACACAAGGTCACAGGCCATAGGGAAAAACAAATTTTTCCTTCCCCACTCTAATAGTGCCATCTTTTCGATCTTCCTCACAGGCTAGGGGAAACGGTTTACCCTTCTTTCGCAGCATGCAGGCATCTAATGGAACAGAAGATCTGACCTGATGAAGGGTACTCATAGGAACTACAATATACAGGCGATCAACAACCACTGAATATGCAACAAAGGAATTTCAAAATATTTTCTATGGTATAACTTGATTCAAGAGCAATGCAAGAAAATTCTTCAAAACCTTCCCACCAACAAATTTAAAATATCATCTTTATTAAACTACTGCCATTAAGAAGCAAAGAGTTACAGGGATGAACTTTAATGACAATCCTGCTACTCTTTCTAGTTATCAGGGGCAACCTCTCAAATACAATTACAAGCTGACATACCTTCTGATCATATACAGCCATGTCAGAGTACCCCGCAAGATCTACTTGTAGGGAGCAAATAAGATTGACGAGTTGTGGCCACCAAATCCAAAAGAATTAGACAATGCCACCTTAACGTCCAGTCTTTCTTTCTTTGGGCCCACCAGCACATTCATGTTCTGATTTGGAAATGCAGGCATTCAAACTTCTAAGGCTAGTATGTATACTAATAAAATTAGTTATAATGTAGATCAAAATTCAAGTAAAAGAAAAATGGATTACAAAAATGTTTTGAGCAAGCCATCCAATTGAAAGTCCAAAATGTGTGACTCAAAACAGATTAACACATGTAGCTAAAATAAACAGCAAAAGACAGTTCATCCACTTGCATACTCTTTTACGTGATCTGATAATAACGATGAAGAATGCAGTGAACATTAATCAAGGAGGATCACATATTATTTCTACCCAACTGCTACTAATCTATACTATTCTCAGTTAATAATATGAAAGAGACGCAGTGAGGGTTAAAGGCAGCTTGCATGACCCTTTTTGAAGGATACCAAGACAGTACACAGTGCAATGAAATAACAATTCACATAGTGTCAACTAATGGGTGAATAGTGACAAGAAACCTTATAAGAACATACCACGCCTTCATCTGGGCTTTCCAGATTCAAATTCGGATGAACCCAACCTGTCCTTATTGCCTACAAGGAGTCAAAAGTCCATGTCAACATTCAACTCAGGAAACATTTCATCAAGCTTCAACTTTTGAAGTAGATCTTAATAAGTTTCAAATTTAAAACGAAGTTGGCAAACAATAGCACTATCGACTTCATATTAATCAGATACAAACTTCAAGAGAAGAAGGATAGAATAGGCCAAGAGAATATAGAAAGGAAAATTCGAGGGCTTAAAATAGTACCAACTGAAGAAATTAAGTTCAACACCTTTAGAAATGCAAAGCCCATAGAAACGTTGGTCATCTAAGTGCTAATAGAATTGCATCAATGGTAGTTTTAGGACACTAAAAAAACACAGATTCTACTTAAGTATGGCAGACAAAATAATAGAATTTGACATTCTTCAGCAATGAACGTATAAAAAGAAAACAGGAGAAAGTTTCGAGACAAATCTACAGGCATCGATGAGCCTCTATAGTGGTTTTATTTCAGTCTTGCGCAAGCTTTATTGCATCCTATATTCACTTGCAGTCAGACTAACTGCTACACCACCCATTACTAAAACTTAGGTGATCTTTCAACTAAAATTTGAACATTTGCTAGAATCCACAGGAATTTCCATGGGGTCAGTTTCATAAGCATGATCTCGCCTTCAAAGCATATGCCCCCTCTTACAAGCAACAGGAGAAAAGAGCCTTCTCAATACTTTCTACAATCGAATTCCAAACCATTTTACACTTGCACAAAGAAATACCTACATGGATCATGGGCAAGTGAATGGTCTGACAACCAAATATATGAGCAAAGCTCAACAAATCTCTCCTCCTCAATAATTGATACAACAATGAGGATACCAAACCAACCAATGGTGAACTGCTCTTTAAGGATGGTGGTATATATCTATTGACCAAAAAAAAAGGTTATAAGGTTAGCCTCTCTAGTGATGGAGAAGCAGCAATCATCAGGGCTTCATACAATTTGATTTATCAAAAAATTGTATGACACATTTTATGTCTCTCTCTCTCTATCTAATTTTTATTTCAACAAGTATGACCGAACATGAACACCTACATATGAGAGGCCAACTATGACCCTACTGTATACACCTGATGAGTCAACAATGCAGTCAGAAACCAAGGTGAGGCCTATTCCCATCAATTTTCCAAATGCCAACTATTAATAAATTCGAAATTGTCACTTCGATAAAAACAGAAGGGAATACTGGGTGACTAGGGATACATAAAACAGACAGGCAAAACCATTGATTACCAAAAAATACATTTAATAATTTTAACCGAATTATAAACTCGACCAACGTATTGGTGAATAACTAGCACCCAAAAAGTTTGTTGGACAAGTCATGAGCTTGAGCTTTAGTTGCTTCCTACCAAGTGGCAAGCAGAAACAAAGTATCAACCAAACCAAACAAAAGGGAAATAGACTATCACAGAATTTTCAAAGTGTTGGGAAACTTCGATTTGTTTAACTTAAAAAAGACAAATAAAACTAAAAACTATTTATGTCTAGTGTTGCACAATATACATGACTGCCGAACCAATGCCTGCCGCTGTAATCATGCGTGTAAGCAATTCAATTCAGCCACTGCAGTGGATCTGATGCCACCATTTTGATAATGTATGCACTTAACTTATGCACCAATATTTTTGACCTTTTATGCCTAATGAAACTCTTTTTCTTATGGAACACATAAATGATCATCTTCATAAATATCAATTTAGTGTGAACAAGAGAAACAAGATCTTATCTCTGCCCATTCCAAATCACATGGAAGCTTTGTGGAAATCATTTTCAAAACTGTACATCCATGAGGATGAATATGATTTTCTATAGGCAAGGCATGATTACTAGGACAATTTCTTAGTGATGTCTGAAAAAAGAAACCGAAGATGCATTTGAAACAAAGTAGACTAGATGCATGAAATCAAATCATCAACAAAATAGAGCTAGCTTTCATTAAGTGTAACCAATAAAAGGAGCAAACAAGTGTTATCATGAGCAGTTGGAGAGATCAGATGCCCTCTTACATCAAAACAGTGTTGTCAATGCTCTGTTAAGGGCTCCACCATGGGGAGCATGTTGATGGTTGGTATTTAGGAAATTCAAGCCCCAATTGGGGGCACATTTAGGAACTTTTTCTCTAGACCTGCCAGGGTTAGCTTAACGATTCAAGAGAAGAATTCAGCTAATTATGAAGGTTGTCTTCTATGAATATTCAGAAATTTGAGTGGAGGTTTCAAAGATATTTAGGCAGGGTGAGATCTAGAGGACCCTTGACTGGTGAGAATTACAGAACAAATACTTTCTAGACCTGACATTGACCTGGCTGACTCCTTGACTAAGACTGAAAAATCTTGATGATGCCACTTAGGGGCACTTTTAGTCCACATGAGATTGCTATTTAATCGTCCAGTGGTTGGGGTATCAGATTTACCCTAGTACGGGTTATTGGCTAGTTTCTTGTTGTGTTGGACCAATGTCATTATCTTTTTAGCTTCTTGGTGAAGGATTACCCATCCCTCTAAAATTATGTGCCTTCTCTTCTGCCATATAATTTCTCCTTTCTTATCAGAAATAAATAAAGCTATAAGATGCACAAGAGACATTCTCAGGTAATAGCATATAATAACAAATAAACATAATATTGCCAGATTAGGTCAAAACAACACAATTATAGCTCTTTCCAAAGGTCACCGTATACAATGCTGTGGTGCGAACTAAAATCCACTTTCCACCAATATAGATATATGGTTCACTACAAGGAATAAGAACAATTCACTCTTTTGTGGCAATCAATCCCAGGTCGAACCAATGAATGCCACTTTTAGTATTCTATAAAAATAAGGAAAAAACTTCATCAATCATGAATTCAATTTGTAGCACAACTAAATTCATAAATTGTTACCTGCACAGTTGCAATGGCTTCCACAGCACCAGCTGCCCCTAGTAGGTGGCCAATCATTGATTTTGTAGAGTTCACTCGTAGCTGCAAATGTTAGAAGATCTCATCAAGCAAGAATAAAAAACAAGGCCTACAAAGGAAAACATATATTTAATTCATTAACCTCGGGGTTCTGGCCAAAACAGTGAACAAGCGCTTGGTACTCCTTAATGTCTCCAGCTAGTGTTGATGTAGCATGTGCATTTATGTAGTTCACATCTTCCCTAGATACGCCAGACTGAGCTATGGCCTTTTCTATGCATAGGATGACACCAGTCCCTGCGTGTAGGTGAGAAACGGATATCAGCTCAACCTACATTTTCTTATAATAGGTTATACAATATGTGTTGCATGTCTATTTCTCAATCCTAAGTCAGATATCTACCAAACATTTCTAGGCAATGTTTAGTATACAAAAATTACATCTTTTGCAATAATACAAATGCACATATTGGGACTCAAAAACTTAGGTCGGTCTCTCTCTCTCTCTCACATTCATCCTGGTACGAACAAAACACGATATGCACGGAAGTGGTGAATATTCAATGACATATAACATTACAAAATGCAGTAAAGGAAGTTTCAAAAGATAAAAATTAATAATGTGGAAAAAAATATCCAAAATATTATAATAATCTAGAATAAAAACAATGTGTTTAATCAGTAACTTTAGAAAGAGCCTCATTTGCAAAAACTATGAACAAGGTATCTGTAATAACACATACCAAACATCACAAGAATAACCTGGGGGGGAAAGAGAGAATTTTTTGGCTGAAGACTTTCTTGCAATCCTTTGTCTTAAATCATATAACACAAATGGAGCATCAGCCTCAAAATACTTTGATGCCACTACTCAAACAATTAACTCAGGAGAGCAAAGCCTTGACACATTTCAAGAAGCCAAGAAGGATAAGTATATTCTTTTTTGAGAATATGTCTCTGCTGAAGATTAAGATTTACAGGGAGTAAATTAGCATTAAAATAACATAGATGCACATTTCGATGTTCATAAACACTAAATTAATGCTCATACCATACTTATTAGAACCAAAGAACCCCATTTGGGGTAGCTGAGGTACAACCCAACAGTGGGCTGGTCAGCCAGCCCATTTGGTGCGTAGAATCATTAGAATAACACAAGGTACAATGTCAAACCTGACTCATATTATTGGCTATAGCTTATTAATAACTTGAACCTAAAGAGAATCAACTTATATAATTTGGACATGTTTCTAGAAGACCTATTATTGTACCAATGAGAAATAGTAATATGACACCTTTTAATGGTGATGCAAGGGATAGAGGGAGATCAAAATAAACTTAGAAATTGATATTACAGAAAGGATATGGTAGCCTAGGGTTTAACAGAAAATATGGCTCTTGTAAGAGCACAATGGTGAATCAGGATTCATATGGACGGTCCGATATTATTGGAAAAAAGCTTTGTTGAGTTGAGTTGAATTGTGTTATTACTGGTTAGGGGTTTGATTCTTCACTCGTTGTAACTCCAGGATTCTTGTACCCAAACATTCACTAGAGGTCTGGTTTGACAAGTGAACCAAACCAATAGAGGAGAAGAACTGCTAATTTGGTGGTCCTCTCCGGGTTTATGAGTGGATAACACCTGGTCTAACAAGATGTGCACCTATTGAAACTCCCGTCTCTCCAAGCTTCAAACTACCAAGTACCAAAGCCTTCACCATGGCAACTAGCTTATGCACCCATCTGAACATATGCACTTGCACAGAACAGTAAATTTGCCATCTCTCAGGAGTCGGGACATATTACTGGATACCCGAGATGGCAATGCAAGTGGCTCTTTTTATGTTCATTAGTGCAAGACCTTAAAAGTGTACCTTCAGGATGAGGCTCAGTCATGTGATATGCATCACAAGTGAAGCTTCCACCCATAAATTCAGCATAGATTTTTGCTCCTCTTTTCTGGATATTAGCAAAAAACAGGCATAAGTGGCATGTACTTTGTTCTCATTAAAAAGTCACATGCTCCTATATAATATATCATTATATCTTGGCTTTTAAATATACCTTTGCATGCTCAAGTTCTTCCAAAAGCAGAACTCCAGCTCCTTCTCCCATAACAAAACCATCACGATTCTACCCAATAACAAAACCAAAATGTACGACAAGTTTTACTCATAGTCCAAATTAAAGAGGAAATAAGAGGATCGGGGCTTTGATAGGCATCACTCTGTCCATAGCATCCTCAGATTACTTTCTCAGACAAGTGAATGATTTCAACAATTCACAAAATAGAACTCAAAAGCTCTTAGCCCTGAATTGTTTATGACATATTACCTTTTCAAACTCAGTTCTGAAGATGAAATAACCTACTGAACTTACATTATATATTATCTCATAACAAAATGTGTGGCAAGGGTGAAATGTTGACAAGCGTGCCACAATTTGCAGTGAATTTTCTATTCATGTTCTCAACAAGAGCTTCTTTTCCTTAAACTATGTCATTTGTCAAAAAAAGGTTTCTTTAAAAACTGACTCAAGGAAAGAGAAGAAGATGAAAGCATAAAGTGTATCAAACATTACCATGTCCCAAGGGCGTGAAGCTTTTGTAGGATCTCCATTTCTCTGAGAAAGTGCTCTGCATGCCACAAATCCTCCCAACCCTGCATGAACAACCAAACTGTAAACACAACTAAATTCAGGTTACTGGAGTCAATGAAATCTAAGAAAGAAAGAAATACCAATGGGTATGATTACAGCATCTGAGCCACCACAAAGCATCATGTCCTGAAAGTTCCGAAGATATGTCAAAAATACTGCAGTAAAGTGCAATACGTGTTCTTTATTTGTTTGGCAGTTTCACTTAATCAAATTGTTTCAGGACTGCTCAAGGAAAAACCAAATGCAAGTCACTTACAGCTTCACCTCTGATGATGTGGTTTGCTGCATTCAATATACAGAAGTTGCTTGTAGCACAAGCAGTAGAAATCGAATAGTTTGGGCCCATCCATCCCTGTAATTTGATAGACAAATAAGCTGTTACAATAACGTCCAAAAACCTCAATTGGCTGTCAAGTGGATGTTTATTTGCAACATCAGATTTAGCTCACCAGATCCATAGCGAGTATGGCTGAACCCATATTTGTAGTTGCAAAAGGTACACAAAAAGGATTCATCTTCCTGTACGAGACCCTTAAAGCTTCTATTGCATCGTTAAAAACCTGCTCAATTTACAAGACAACCCAAATAGAGAATCAATGAAGAATGAGATAATGCAGAACAAGTATTATGGCTCTAACGTGCAATTCTGAAAGCCTGGACACCCCTTACTGCAAGAAGAATTTCCAACGGGATCATACTACACGGATAAAGACCCGGCCACAGAGAGACACCACCATGCCATGTTTCATGTAAATACAGGAAGTTGAGAATTCGCTTTATTCCAAACTTGGAGCATATAATCAGCTTCAGCGATTTTTTGAAGCTGATTGCCTTTGGATTGCTCCACTACTTCACATGCAAACCACATATAATGCAGATATGACAAGGAGTACCATATTTCATGCTGCAGTTGTTATACAACCTCAAATTTCACTCTGTATAAGAACATATAATTGATATTCCCTCCATTCTCTATTTTTCATTAAATTTGCATCTCTACAACGCAATAAAGTAAAAGTTACCTTCATACCACCCATGGCCGAGCCAATCAAAACCCCACATTTAGTTTTGTCTAGTTCGTCCATTACATCTTCAGTAATTCCACCATCTGCCAATGCTTTCTTGCCAGCTGTTAGCATGTAAAGCATGAAATTGTCCATCCTCTTTGAAAGTTTTGGTGTAACCCATCCATCTGTTGAGAAAGACTTGATCTCCCCAGCAATTCTCTGTTATTAAAAACCCTCCTATCAAATCTAAACAGAGAACGCTCTCTAGAAATGCTGAGAGATCATGAAGAAGACATACCGTTGGATAATGGGAGCAATCAAAAGCTTCTATCTCACTTATGCCACTAACACCTTCAAGCAGATTATTGTAAAACACATCGGGGTCATGACCAATTGGGGTCTCCAAACCCATTCCGGTGACTACCACCCGCTTTTGCTTGGTAGGAAGTTTCTTCTTCATTGCAACTTCCATGGTAGGTTGCTCAGCTACAGCCATAGTTTCCCCTGAACAATTAAAAATAAGTCACAAATTGGTGGATGTATGCAGGTCTAAACAGATCACATTGGATGGTACTCAAGCATTCACAGGTGAAGGCACCAAATTTACTCTAAGCTACTTAGCAATGTTAAGTATCGCAGACCAGATAGCCAAGACAATTATGACAAATCGCATACAAGAAGAAACTACAAGCTAGCACTATCATTCATGTTGCAGAACCAAGACAGTAGGAATGAGGCAATAAGGCAGAGGAAAACTATATCACCGATAAACCAATCTAATTCACCCCAACTACACCCACCCTATAAACTGAAAAGGGAAAAATATATTTTTTTGAATACATATTATACACATGAAAATGCAACAATATGAACATTATTCTAATCCAGATCTGAAAACTTAGTTTTCATGCATAAATTATGACTGAATGTCATCTATTATTAAGTACTTGTCCACATAACAACTACATGAGCATCATTTACTGCAGATTCTCTTCATCAACTAAATAGTTAATTGAAAAGGCAAAAAAAATGCAAATTTAAGATTTTGGGAAGAAAAAAATTTCAATATACATCAAATAGAGCTCTTGATTAAACCCATGTAATCACCTTAATCAGTTAAAACAGGAAATCATTCAACGATAGAACTTACACAAGTTTCTAAATCAAAAAGTCACTAATAAAAACAATAAATTAAAATGAAAAATTCATAATTTAGAGCAAACCAAACAACATAAATACCAGAATGGGTAACTTTATTCATCCTCCTCCGCCTGCGACCTAACGGAACATTTCTTGATCCGAATATCGATCCTAACCCATTCTCACCAAAGAAGTCTGATATCAAAAGCCCTTTAGAATTGTTATACTCATGACATGGCTCCAAGGAGTTCATTAGATTCTGAATGCTCGATCCACACAATGATGTAATTAAGCCTCTTTGCAATTTGGTGCTATCAGAATTGCATTTAGCCAAGACCCTTCTTCTACGAGTCCCTTTGCTTAATCCTTTCGAAGGCGAAGAATTAAACATCGAAGGGTTCGGGTTCATCATCGTTTGGTCTTTTTCACAAGCAACAGACATGCAAGCCGCCATTAGCCATGTACACATTACAGATGACGCCGCCATTAGTTTCAGATATCTGAAACCCACTAACCAATACAATCAAGAAAACTCCCTCCCTCTATATGTATGCTTTTACACAGAATACAACCGCACGTGGTATGAAGCGATGTTGTACCGAGGGTGATAATGTTAATATTGCGCAGAGAGGATTGCGAAGCTGATTGATGGTGAGGGTGGTGATAGGAAGAGGAGCAATGTTCGTGGTTTTGTTTGGTTGAATCTGAAGGGGAGGGATAGAGGGGTAGAGAGAGAGGGGGGGGGGGTTGCTTACGAAAGATATCGAACGTGGAGTGTCATGTTGTCAGATCTCTTTACACTTCAAAGCTGTCGAGACGACAAGTATTCAGTTTTGGGTAAAATCTGAGTCAAGCTCTAAACACGGTCAAACACACACACAGAGTAACGTTCCAAGTGCTCTGTGTTCTTTATGAGCTTCTGACAGAAAATATATATATATTATAAACTAAAACTCTAAAACCCTAATAGAAAGCTCAAGTTGAAATATGGGTTTCTTATAAATTCATGTTTTGAGTTCAAAATTTGATAGGTTTTTGGAATTAATTTAGTTAGTAGGAAGAGTCTTTATTTTCTATAAAAAACATATTCAGGCCTCGGATGTGAGTTCGATCCTCTACCGATTGTGTGAGTCTAATTTATTATTGTACGTGTTAAATAGTTCAAAATTTAATAAGTTTTTGGAGTCGATTTAGTTAGTAGAACGAGCTTCCATTTTCTAGAAGAAACGTATTCAGGCCTTGGATGTAGGTTTGATTCTCTATCTATTGTGCAAGTCTAATAGATTGTTGTACGCGATAAAAAATTGGTGCGAGCGACACATCTCTAAATGAAAATTATCTCTCTAAAGGGATTAGAATTAACTTTGAGGGAAGTAATTCCTGTAGAGATAGCCTTCTATTTTCTAGCCTGACCAAACAAATTGTGTATTTTTTTTGATTATTATTCAAGGTTAATTCTTAATAAAAAAAAAAAAAACCCGTCATGCTTGGGGCAGATTATTGAGCACTTCCTTCAATTTAAAATTTGAGTAATGCTATGTTTATCAATTTTTCATCTTAAGTGACTTGACACAATCTCCATCATTGAATATTAATGAGATCTACTAGTGTTTTAACTCAAAAGAGTTAAATCACCTCTTAACATTATCGTGTTGTAGAGACGAGAATTTTATAATCATTGCATGAAGAATAAAATTTTAATTTAAGAATATATATCATATTTATGATACAATATTCGGATACAAAGTTAAGTCATTTACGGTGGGGTGACGTCAATGCCAACGACATAAAAAAGCTTGATGTTGGAGTAGTTGGTAATGGAGATTGATAGTTAAATTGAGATGGTTTTTGCCGTAGGGGTGGGTGGGGGGTTTTGGGGCTTGCTACTGATTAGAATTGGGTGATGGAGTGATATGCAAATGCAGAAAAAATCAACCGACTTTTAGTTTAATGGTATTTTTTATCTTGTGAAAATTCTGTTTTTTAAGATCAAGAGTTCAAGTCGTCCTCCCCTCTCCCTCCCCCAAAAAATTTTTTTTGAAAAAAAAAAAATGCAGATAATACAAGCAAATTAAAATTATCAGATAAGGGCATTAGAATGAAGTATGATGATATAAGGGTGGGTATTTTGGTATTGTAACATATATTAAAGTTAAGGTTTAATGAAAAGGATTAAAGTTGAAAAAAGTGGTTGTATTTTAAATACAAGGTTGTTGTATAAATCAATAATGTTGTTAAATAGTTAAGGATTTAGAAAACACTAAGAGCCACGTAGACCCATTGAACCAGTAGAGTGAACGGTGATATTACGTCATCATTATCACGTGATACACTATTTAATAAAAATACAAATAAATAAATAAAATGGACCTCACTTTTTTATATAGATGGTTATCAAATTACATAATCATGTGATTATTAAATTATGCGGGACCTTTTTTCTTTTTTTAGCACTAGCGAATTTAGATTACGTCTTAAGGGTGTTTTTGAGTAATGGGGTGGGATAGGATAGATTTTTTTTTTTTTTATATCTTAACCAATCTAAACCAAACCCATTCATCCCCTTTAAAATTCTAATCCAAAATTATATCTAATCATAACCCTTGTTTGGAAAATAAATGTATAATTCAATGGGTCCCATAGATTATACAAATAATTTTGTAGTAATTTATCATTCTACCCATGACTCTATCCATTCCAATCTAAATCAATCTTATCCTATGATTGGTTAATCCATCGAAACCTAATAAAATTAAATATTTTCCACGTATACATAAAAATATATAAAAATAAGGAAAGTATATATATATATATATATGTTGTATTTATTTTTTTCAAACAAATCAACAGACTTGCCTTAAAACAATATGATAAAGCCTTAAAACAAGAGAACAGATTTCATCCTTAGCATTCAACCCTCCATTCCAATATCTTTCCTATGTCAGGCAAGCAAAGATGTAATTTTAAAACACTTTTTTTTTTTTAAACCAATGCAATTTTATTCAATGAATCAAAAAATTACAAGAATCAAAACCAGAAAAAATCTGTAACAAAACCAGAAATTCTGCTACAATCAGAAATTCTGTTATAAAACAAAAATTCTATTCACATTTTCTTTCCAATACTCCCCCCATCAACAATACCCCCTCCAACACAGCACAGCAGGGCATCAGCAACACAACATCACTGCAGCACTTCAGCAGCACAGCAGCACAGTCAAATAGGCAATATTACAAGCAAAATTTAACCCCCAAAAAAATGGAAAATGAAATTCATGAAATGGAAAAGGAAATTCATAACGGAAAATGGCTAAATGTTCCCACCTACCTAACGGAAAATGTGTAACAAAGAAAATTTTCCAAAAAAATGCACAATCACATTCCAATCCACTGCCCAGCACGACCCAACATCAATGGCATCACACATGAAGGTGAATATATGGAGATGAATACACAAAGGAGAGAGAGAGAGGGGGGGAGAAAGCGCGCACACACACACACTCACACTCTTCTGCCATGGCAGCTCGGAAAAGAGCTTCAGGAGACGGCATCAACTCCACCAAACCACCGCCATTAGTCTCAAACCAACCCAAATCCAAACCCCAAGAAACCATCTCAACAGACCCACCAATCACCTTCATCGTCGTCGTTGCATGGGTGCTTCTCAGCCAAGGATCCCGTTTGACGAATGGTTGGACGAAGTGAAAAGGGCAAGAACGTTTGTGTATGCAGGGTAAAAATGTCATTGCTTCTTTTATCCTCTTGGCAAGGGTTGTATCCTATGGGGGAGGCGGGTTTCATTTAACCCGTGTAGGCAGACTAAAAATACTGTAGCACCCGGGTCAAGGTTTGACCCGGGATTTATAGCCTTACTCATTTTTTCTTTCCCAAACAAGGGTTTTGTGAGACCCACATTTATATTAACCTAGCCCATTTTAACTCATTACCCAAACATACTCTAAGGGTCGTTTGTTTTGAGTATTAAAGTGGTATAAGGAAGTGGTATTAGGAATACCGACCTTCTATGAATAGTAATCATAATGCCTTGTAGAAGGTCTTAATAAATACCACCTAGGGGTGATATTATATTCTTGGTATAGGTATTATAACTAAAAAGATCAAAATGTCTTCCGGTACAATTCTCATATAAAAGTCTAGTCACAATTTTTGACTTTTTAAAGGTTAAAATTGTCTTTTACATTGGTTAGCCGCAATTGTTAACTTTTTAAAGTAGGTATTACACAAATAATATTTGTGATAAACAAACAAGGAGAAGGATGAGATTATAGTTTAATACCGGGTATAATATACTATTAGATTGGAGTGAAATAGATATAATACCACCTAAATTTTATACTCGAAACAAACATGCCCTAAGGGTATGAGAAGTGTTGAATCTGAGATCTCTGGGTTATCAGATATCAGATTCAGCCACCAATCCACCTCTAAGAATTGTGAGACCTATTTTCTTATTTGTTATTTTTTTATTAAATAATTACATCACGTAACAATAATAACACCGTTACAATGAATATTTTTTGGACGGAAGGTAGCACTTCTCTTGTGGAAAAGATATCAATAGCCCCTTCCTTTTTTTTTTTTTAAGTATAATAGTGACAAGAATAATTTGAACCATAAAAATTATAACACGTGTTGAAAATTTATCCACTGCAATAAGTTAGGATTTGTATAGATTGCAGACCATATAGAGGTGGTTCAAATTCTTTTGTACCATGTCACTAAATGCTAATGGTCCCCAAAATTGACCAGAGAAGAGTCCTACCACAAATCTAAGTACAATATAACTGTTAGTGGTGTGAGAATAGTCATAGCCTGAAGATACGGTGCTCTACTGCTCTTACCTCTGTTTTCTATCGAAATCTTTCAAGTTTCAGCTTTGTCTGACATTAAAGCCAGGTCGGCAAAGCTGTTATATACAATTATCTTTTTGTCCATGGGGGAGGAGGAAAGTGGTTCAAACATTAAATGGTGGGCATACTAGTCTTTTCATGACATGGTCCCCTGTTGGAGTTACGCTTAAGAAAATGTTATTTGGGTTTAATTTAAAATTTTAATTTGGGTAACTCAATCAATTTCAGTTGTTTGTTTGAAAGTGAACTCCATTTAATCCCTTGATCACGAACGCACTTGATCATGAGGCAATGCGACATGTAACATGGACACGGCGCAATGTGCAATGTTACCTCCCACGCAATGTGGAGCAAATTATAAGTGTATGTGATACATGCCCTTTTTTTGTCAGGAGTGTAACAGACTAGAATAGAAAATACACATTTAATCCAACAATTACACTGAATTAGGTCCCCAATTTAAGTCCCGCAGCATTGCTCAACTAGAATTCCTAATACTGCCGTTTAGTAGTTGAGAAGATGGTGGACAAGGCAAGGAAATCAGCAAATTACTGCAAGATTCACACCAATGTGAAAGAAAAAAAAAACCCATACAGAAACTCAGAAGTCAAAACTGGTAAGCCAAACACCATCATCCAACAGAATTCCTGAATTTCCTTTTCACACAAACAACACCTACTCATATGGCAAACCATCCGCAAAACATTAAGAATACAAGCAACAGAAAAAAAAAATGCAGCTAACAATCCTTTCCTAAACACCTTTTTTTCGCAAACAGTTTCCAACCTCCTATTTAGCCTTTGAATGAAAAAGGAAATAAGAATAGAATGGCTATCACAGTTGAAACTTCCATCATTATAGAGATAATACACAAACAAGAGGCGCTACGAATAAGATTCTCTGTCTGGCGCTAAGAAATCGAGAGACTAGTGCACGATTCAGTTGTTTGGACTCTAACAATTAGGTTGTATACATGCATACAAGTACCAACAATGGGGCTTACAAGTCCAACATAAAGCTTTTGATACGGGTCTGACTAGTAAAGGGTCAAGTCTAGATCAACCATACAGATACTAGATGTTGGTCTTCGGTAAATTTGGTTTAATATGATGAGTTCACACATCAAATTAAAAACTGCATATGCCCAAATTATTCAATTTAGAATCCTTGTCTACTACACATGACCCGATTTCTAAGTGTGATTTCTAAGTGTGCAAGTGCCTGGGAAAGAAAAGGAAGGGGGAGGGGGTGTTTTCGTAATGCTTCCAGAAATAAGAGATGCCAAACTGAGAATAGAGAGGTTGAAGACCATCCTGCTGCAACAATCCCACCAGTGATTCAACAATTTAACAAATACTAAAGACTCCAAATAGAACATAACAAACACTTCCAATGAAACTAATTTAAATTTACTACATCGAAAGTGTATATGCTTTTTTTTCTTTTTTTCTTTTTTGGGGGTGTGGGTGTGGGGTGGGGGGAGGGAGGGGGGGGGGGGAGAACAAGTCAATAAGATGACAATCTATGAGAACTATAAGTAAAGAAACAGACCAAAATCATCAAGGTCATCCAGTACATGCAAAAAATTTCTGTGTACATCATGGGAGTATAGAGCAAATATGTGAAATTGACCAATTAACCTCTGGTGCTAGATGTAACTAGCTGCTATCCTGAGCAGATCAAAAGCACTGATTTATACACAACTTCAAAACAACTGCTGCCACAAATAGGTTTATCTTGTGGCTTCCCTCAATTTGTAACCTGCATCAAAGTTGCAGTCTAGATCAACATCGAACATAAACACCATCACTGCTTCTCTTTATTCTCATTTATAGATTAATAACTGAGGTATCATTGCAAAGATATAACAATAGACAATCATTGCAGCCCTGAATTAGGCCACTCAAGCTAGAGCTTTGGTCAAACTTTAACTGAAATCAACCCAAGCTAAAGCTCCTGCCAAGCTAAAAAGTCAAGCTAGATCAAAGACACAAGCCTACCAAGTCTATTAATGAGCCTGATCCAACAATCGACTTTCAGTTACTCAAACTAAAGGTGCTATGCATGACAGTTCTAGAGAAGCCAAACAGTTTGAGCTATGAGACGAATTAGACTAGTGAAAAACTAATCTCAGAACCCTAGACCCTGATTGTTCATTAAGGTTCAATACATCCAAAATCAACATATCCATTTCAAGATGGAGAGGGAAAACAAGGCTTTTGCCGCCAAATTTCATGATGATGTATACATAAGCATCCACTGTCAAACAATCAACAACTCAACTTATAAGAAATGGCAATATCCAAGAAAGAAAATGCCACAGGCTTGAAAAGTAGGAGATTTGTTATGCATTTTGAGTTCACTGACCTCAATCAATAGGTTCTGTTTTTTCAGCATGCTGCTCCTCTATCAAAGTTTGAACTCTCTGCAGCAAATACCAAAAGTGAATTTACTTGCTTAGAGGAAGAGGTCACATAAACACTGGTCTAAATAGAATAAAGTTGCCATGGCCTTTACCTTCACAGAACTTCCAACTTCCTCCAATTTTTGTAAAATTATATGCTCCCCAATATGAGAAAAAGAATCGTGCCTAATAGATTTTGATGGAGACATCTGCAACTGAACAAAGAAAAGGACAAACTCAGCTTGGGGTGTGTGTGGGTGTGTGTGAGAGAGAGAGACACTTCAATGAAAAGGAAGTTTTGCGCACAAAACACATGATACAGAATACAGTTTTTCAAACTGTAAGCGCCTCGTTTTGTTGCCTAGGTTCATATAAAGCATTCTTGCGTACCGAAGCAGCTGGCGAATGACCTATCCTCAATTCTGGAATATCTTCAAACATAGAAGTTTGCCTAGGGAATACCTCACTTCTCATACTCGACAGGCGTGTTAGAACAGCCTGGAAAAGGCATCAATAGACACAGAAGAATTAAAATCCTTCAAACATAATACGCTAACCAGAAATAGAACAGCTTAACAATGAAGAATACCTTCCTAAAAGCAAGAGGATTTGCAATGCCTTGGATCCGAACATCATCACTTGGAGGCCTTCTTACACCAATATTCTCTATTCTAGCAGAGTAGACACCAAAAAAGGACTGTAGATACCCTGAGAGTGACAATGATTTCAACAATTGACAAGATTGAACTGTTATAAGTCCTAAAATTCCACCAAAATGAAGAGGAAGAGTAATATTTTGTACTTGATATGATAAGCAATTGTATGAGGAACGGGAATAACACCTAATGAAAGAATATAAATATTCGTATTTCACCAGATTCATTTTAATCATATTTGAAGATATAAAGTAGACATAGAGTAAAATGACAACCTATGTTTCTGCTTTCTGTATAACAATCTTCTAGTAATTCACAATATGTAAAAGCTCAAGCAATAAGGTCCCGGGGGGAGGGGGGGAGCACAAATTTGAGAGTCTCATGGTAGCTACATTTGAAATAAAAACATCCAGTTCATTATTCCGACTCCCTTCATCAGTGGAACCAACACTGGTTATTTCTTGTTTCAGTCACAAACATTGAATGCAACTGGCCAACTTGTAGCCCATGCGAGCATGAACCATCAATCAATTTAAAGCCAGACTGAGTTCAGGTTTACTAGAAGTGGAAGAAATGTGTACTCTTGTGTCCATGAATTTAAACTCAAAAACTTATACCTTGCACATGGAAAACCCAATCTTGTCAGCATAAAATTGATTGAAATGGAGCATCAATGAGACCAATTTGAAAAATCATCCCATATTCAGGTACTGCAAAAGAAGTATAACCATGCTTTACCTTGTTCAATAACAACATCAGCAACTGAAGGCAATAGAACATACTTCTCTTTCTTTAAATCCCCAAAACATGGAAATGGGACTGGCCTTGCTACCTGAGTTAAACCACAAAAGAGTGTTAACCGACAGAGTCCTCACATAACTTGCTATGTTCTTTCTGCAATTCAATGTATCAAACATTCGATTCAAGCAGAAAAAAAAAAGAAGTAAGTCGAGGAGCTCAAGCAATCAATCGGGATTCGCAATTCGAAAGAAATGCAACGAATTTCACAAAATAGACAAATAATAACTCAGTTAATGCAATCAGAAAAGATGTAGAAGGAATTTTGAAAAGAAATGGATGGTTTACTTTATAGACAATGGCTTTGGGAGTGACGTAGAGCTTCCTGGATCGAATATCTCGACGCAATATATATCTCCTGAGTGGTAAATAAAGCAACATGAATAACCCAATTCCCCAAGCCAAAGTGAGAAGCAACGAATACATCACCCACAGAACCGTCTGGTACTTGACAAAATTCTCTTCCGTTTCTTCAAATGTCGCCGTGTAAAGAACAGGTTCGTCGTCGTCATCGGCTTCGTAATCGCTGTCCAATAACAAACCTCTCTCCAAACGGTCGATTTCTACAATTCCATCTTTCGATTCCATCCGAGCAATATGTGTCGTTCACAGAGGAAATGAACCAAAATAAAACCCTAACCCCAGCTCGACATTAGATGCTTGAACTGTAAAGCAATGAAGCATGGCTCTTTCTTTTTTTTTTAACAAGGGTGTCCAAACTCACGGTTGCCACTAGGAGCAACTCCAAACGAGGTGTCATTTTTTAGTGCCAAATTAAGTATTTGTAATTTTGAACAATGTTTTAATATCCCCAAAGTATAAATTTATTCCAATGGTATGTGTCAAAATAGGGTGTCATTTTAATATTTTTTATTAACAAATATAATTAAATTTAATGATTATATTTTAACAAGTATAATTTTTATAACGATCGTAATTTAACAAATATATTTTTATAGTAAAAATTTCAAATTTTAAATCAGTGTCGTTCATAAGCAAATTAGTGAAAGAACCATCAAATTGCAAATCTATCTACAAAAAAATATATATAATTAATATAAAGAATGAGCATAAAATAATCAATTAAAAAATAAATAAAATTACCCTTAATTAAAACAAATAAATCTGTCATAAATTATAAACAAATTATAAATTAAAATAAGAGCAGGGGTGACAAATATAATTATAAGTTATAACGTCTTCCCCTTCTCCTAAATAAAACGCTTCATATTCCTTCCCCTTCCTAGAACGTCTGTTTACCCTTTCTTTTCCCTTTCCCTTTCCTCTTCCCCTGCGCCCTCTACAACTTACAACGACAACGACAATCAATTTTCAGGCAATAGCAATGGCAATGGCAATGACAACGGCAAACGATTTCCAGCCTCTTACCCCTTTCCTCTGCGATTCCAGGAATGCTTCTGTGCCTCCTTCTAACGATTGAAGAAAAATCAGAATAAAAATCAGGTAAAATTTCTTTTCAAAATTTTTGTATTTGTAAAAAAAATTTGTTGAATATAGTCGTTGAAAGAGCGATTGGGAAATGAATAGTGATTTTGCAACCTCTCATTTTCTCTCTCTAGAGATGCCAAAAATGTCACCTCAGAGCAACTCCAAGAGGAGTTGCCAAAAATAGGGTGTCAAACGTCATTTTGTAACCTTGAACAGTATTTTGGCACCTTTGAAACAATGTTTTTGCTCTAATGGTAAGTGTCAAAATGTGGTGCCATTTTATATTTCAATATTTTTTATTAAAAAAATATAATTAGTCAATTTAAAGAATGAGCATAAAATAATCAATTAAAAAATAAATAAAATTACCTTTAATTAAAACAAATAAATTTGTCATAAATTATAAATTATATTACAAATTATAAATTAAAACAAAAATAGGAGGCAGATGTAATTATAAATTACAACGTCTCCCCCTTCCCCAAAATAAAACGGTTCCTACCCCCTTTCCCTTACTAGATCGTTTCTTCCTTTTCCCTTTTATCAGACTTCTTCTGTAATACCCCACATGCGTTTAAAATAAAAAAAAAATAAAAGACATAGGTGTTCAGTAATTATTTCATTTGAAATGATAAAATAGTATAACTCAAGGAAAGAGTAGTTAAAAGATTAGTTTCGGTATGAAAATGTACAAAATAAATCATAAAAGAACTTGAACTAATTAGGTCGATGTAGAAAAGTATGTAGGATAAGTTAGGATTAAAGTTGGAAGGATTGGAAGTGAAAAGGGGCGCCCAAATGGGCGCTGGGGCGCTGCTCCGGGTACATTGCCTACTCCGGACCAGTTGTCGTAGAATCGTCATAACTCTTGCTACAATGGTCCGATTGAGCTGAAATTTTGACACAATGCAGAAGACATCTAGATCTACAACTTTCATGTTTTGTACATTTTCAGATTCAAAGTTTATCATGATCAAAAATAAGGAAAACAGTAAGTCTGGAAAACCCCCAAAACAGACGATGAACAGTAAAAGTCGGGATTTTTGGGTTTTAAAACACCCATTCCAAGCCCTATTTCTCCCATTCTTCATTTCCCTTCCACTCTAAATACCTTAGAGCCCTAAGAGAAGAGAAAAGGGAGAGAAAAACACCAAGGTCAAGAGAGATTCCCACCTCATAAAGATCAAAACCGAATTTCTCAAGTTTTCTCTTCTCCACCCATTTCTTTTGCTTCTATTCCTCAACCACTCACACCCAAATCTCTAGAAACCCTAGGAGGACGAAATTAAGAGGAAAAGGAAGGAGAATAGGAAGATTTTGAATCTTGGGTCTTAGATTGAAGCTACAACCAAGAGGTAGGGGATTTCTTCCTAATTTCTTACATTGAGGCTAGGGTTTATGTATATACATATGTTTTCCACTCCCATCCATATTTATTTGATATGATTTGTATGATTCTTAATTCTCCTTGTAATAAATGCTATGTTTGAATAATGGGATGGTTTGGTAACCATTAAATTTCTCTTTTTCATCTTCCAAACTTGGTTTTAAGAAAAATTGAGTTTTCTCCATATATTGCCTTGGTTCTCACTTTATAAATTTAGTGTTCGATATTGTTCAACGAAAATGATCTTTATATTGATCTTTTGCTCATTTTAATTCCATCTTGCTATGACGCTTTACTTGTGAAATTTGGGTATTTTGCGATTAATTGATAAAATGTGAATTGATTGAGAATATGTTGGTTTACTCATTGTATGGTGGTTGGGAGGGACTTGGATTACCTACGAGATATGCCGTAGAGTGTAAATGTCAGTTGAACCCAGTGGGAGGGGGGAGATGGTTTCTTGCACTTGTAGTGAGTTGTCATTTGGTAATGCGACCACTATCGTACGCTTGGAGTTCGAACTAGGGTTGGTATACCATTCCTGGGGAGGGACTCGTCACTGCCATTGGGATGGTAGACGCCCCTTCCCTAAGTACTTGTGATTGTGATTATAAATGGGTGGACTAGGTATAATCGTTGGGTAGATTCATGAGAAACAATCAACATACATGGTACGGGGATGAACCAACATAAATGTGATGATTGGCTGGAATGACTTGGCCGGTGCATTGGTATGGGACGATGCATCGGAGGGAGCCCCTCCTAATTGACTTAATGTTGGAAATGGTTTGCTATGGTTAAACTTAATTTATTTCTCTCCTTAACTACTGTATGGCTTAAACTTGAGATCTATTTAAAATGTCCCGTTTTACTTCAAATTCATATATGTTATTTATGAAATGTGACCGACCCGTTTTGTATTTTATAAACCTTGTTGGAGTTTGGAAGATTTTGCTACAGAGCCTAGTGCTCATCCCCTACTGTTAACATTTTTCAGACTATATCCTTGAGGAGGAGCCAGGAGTCGAGGAGCCCGTTCTTTGGGAGACTCCGATCGACGGGAGCGTAGATCCCGAGGTGGACGCCTAGAGCGGCCCTTCTATTTTGTTCTAGACTAGGCTATGTTTTTTTTGAAAGATTGTAAAGTCTAGTTATCTTTTGAAATTCCGCTGCTTATCATAGTTTAATTCTTTGGGAATGTACATGCCATTGTGGGCATATTTTTTTGGGTTAACATGTAAATTTGATGGATTGATTATATAGTAGTTAATTGGACCCGGTGTGGTCATTATAGTAGAATTGCACAGGTTGGATTTTGTGGTAGAGCTCCCCGTACAAAGGAGACTCTGCCCGAATTTTGTTAAAATATCAATGGTTGATGGATAAAAATTTCTTATTTATGGATTTATTTAGTGCTCTCATGATTGTGAAAGGTTTTAGAATGTAATGCCGTCCGAGGGGGTATTTGGGGCGTTACATCTTCTTCCCCTTCCTCCCCTTCCCCTGCGCCTCTCTGTAACTTACGATGGCAACGAGACTATGCATGCAGTACACCAACGGCAAGGGTTTAGGAAAGCTAGGGTTTGGTATCAAAGGCAAGGATTCAGGGCAGCTAGACTATGCGATTCCTAAAGTTGCAGTACACAAATCAATTTTAGGCAAGTTTCCTTCTCTTTTCCTCTCTCTGTATTTTTATAGAAGTTTTGGGTGGAATATAGTCGTTGAGAGGAACAATAGCCACTAACGACTATTTTGCAACCTCTCAATTCTCTCTCCAAAGTTGTCAATTATGTCACCCCAAAATCCTAGATGTCATTTTGCCATCTCCGTTAGAGTATGAATTTTTGCAGTTGGGGTGCTATTTTAGCGGTTATGGAGATGACACCCTTGATGTCATTTTGCAACCTCCAATGTCACCCCCATTGGAGTCTGAATTTTTAAATTTAAGGTGACATTTTAGCAATTATGAGGATGCCACCCCAAAATCAAAAATTTTCATTCCAAGTGGGGTGGCATAAAGGGTTACAAAATGACACCTATGGACTTGGGGTGACAAATTTGCAAACTCTAGAAAGAGAAAATGGAGGTTGCAAAAAGATCGTTGGTGTCTATTGTTTCCTCTCAACGGCTATATTCAACCCAAAAAATCTATAAAAATACAAGAGAAGAAAAAGGGAAGAAGGTTTGCCTGAAAATTCGTTGGTGTCTATTGTTGAAAATCATTAGTGTCTATTTCTGAAAATCGAGAGAGGCTTGCCTAAAAATCCCATGCTTGGCTGGAAATCGCTTCCCTGAAAATCGTTGGTGTCTACTAGGTATATGCTGTAATTTCACTAGGGCTTAGGGGAAGGGTCTGAATCGTAAAGGGAAGGGTTTGCGATAATTCTAGATTTCTGCTACTATTTATTATAGGGCAAATGACACCTTCTACCTCAAAAGTTTTTTATATTCTCAATTTATATATTAAATTTTTTTGTATTGTCATATTATACCATTAAAATTTTGTGTATTATCATATTACACATTATTTTTTTTGTATTGTCATATTACACAATTAAATTTTTTTGTATTGTCATATTCACATTTTTACGATTTTTTCACTAATTTGCTTATAATTAACACTGATTTTATATGATGATGGTATACAGACCAATCCCACAGTATTGACACTAGTACAAAGTGAAGCCGCTCCAAGAATGAAAAAATTGCAAAGGACAAAAAACTTCTCTAGAAGAAGATAAACTAATTGTGTTTGTGTGACTTAACACGAGTAAAGATGTAATTACTGAGAATGAACAAGGTGGTGCTTTCTAGTATAGAATATTGAAATACTTAAAACTTCATCGAGACAATCAAAAAGAGCGTTCACAAGTTTTTATTAAAAGCCGTTAGACTGATATAAATGCAAAATGCGGAAATTTGTCAGTTTTTATAGTCAAATTGAAAGACTATAATATATATTGAAAGACTACGACAAAGTGGACACACCAAGCAAGATAATGTAATTGTTGAGTTTTTTTATATAGACACTATTATGATTTGATATTTGAACTATTGATTGAATGATTTCATATGTTTTTCAAGTTGACGAAGTAAAAGAAATGTTTGCAAAGAAATGTTTAAAATATTAAAATAACACCCTATTTTAGCACCTATCATTGGAGCAGATTTATAATTTAGGGGTGTCAAAATACTGTTTAAAGTTGCAAAATAACATTTGACACCCCAAAAAATGGCAACTCCCTTTGGAGTTGCTCTAAGATCATTTCTCATGAGTAGCAATAATGGTAAAAAGTATCGAATTTGAGAATTTTTACATACAATGAAGCATGGGAGAAAGAGTCTTGGACTCGAGCCTCGTTATTTACCACTTTTATAATATTGTCCGACTGAAAAAAATAATTTGTACACCAAATTTATGAGAAAATATTTAATATAAAGATGATATTATATTTTGTTAACAATTTAATTATAAATTAATACATAAAAATAATGAATTCCACTAATGCCTATAATCACCAGTAAATTTTAAATTCAATTACTATCATTCACTTGTTCTATTTATTTATTATTAATTAATAACACTATGTAATGCTAATGACATGATCTAACTATTATATTAAACATTTTCTCCAAATTAATCTCAAGTTCTCAACCATTTTGTGAGCCCTTTTTTATTGGTTAGAATTATCGACCTAAATTAACATTGAATGAAACAATAAAAAAAATATATAAAAATATTTCACTTAAATAAACGTATAACATATGACCACGAAATGAATAGAGAAGAGCCGACACCAAATGATTGAAACATAAAATTTGATTTTGGTTGGTTTTATTGTGCGACCTCAACTGAAAACTAAAATTTAATGAAAAATAATTTGGACTACTATAATCTATAATCTATAATATAAAACATGACAAATTTCAATAAACTCATTCGACGATCTAAAATAAACTCATTTAACGATTACCAATATCTCTCTCAAAACCATTCACATTCACATTGCGCTGTCCCTTCACTCCTTGTACAAAATCAATGCTCGATAGGCTGTGTCCATCTTGCTGAGGCTCGTTGGAAGAGCTTCAGTAACAATCAGGTGCAGGTCGGCTTTAAGTACCGGAGATTGCGGCTCGTGGCAGATAGGAGGAATAACAATAACAGCAGGCATGAAGCAGTTCTATGGACGATGGGAGGAAAGATTCAAATATGGAACTGGGATATCCCACGTTCAAGGTCGATGAAACCTTGGCAGCTGATACAAAGTAAAGAGTGTCATTGTTTTCAGTTCCACCTGTCGCCTTTCAGCCGGTAGAAGCAGAAGCAAAACTAGAAACTAGAAAGGCAAGGAATGCAAGCATCATCTACAAAACTGAATTGGGCATATATCTCGTAACTGTTACAAATTGGAGTACAATCACTTGCAAAAAGATGCATCTATTACTTGATTGCAACAATGTCCCTCATGTTTCAAACTTCCTGGAAGTTCTGATATGCTAAACAAAAAGGGTACAGGCATACTAACTACGAAAGCACAGCCATTACATCAGATGCCCTTAGAGCTATGTATTCAGAACCATCGGCACCTTTGAAGTCATTCCCTGCATATCTGGAGTACAGAACCGTGTTCCCAGGGGAAATTGATAATGAACTCTTGTTCCCTTCCTCATCCAAAGGACCAGGCCCCACAGCAATTACCTGTAATCCCATATAGCAATCAGTGAGGAGAGATATCTACAGCCTAACAATCTTAGAAGTTGACATGAAAGGATGGCCCCACGCCAATGGGAGTGATTTTTTTTTTTTTTGGAGGGGGGGGGGGGGGGATGGTGGGTGGGGAGGCCAAGGCAGGTAGGTGAGAATTCTGTAACAGAGAAATAAAATATGAAAAAAGCAGATATTTCTTACTGTGCCAATGGAAGGTTTCTCCTTGCTGGCCTCTGTCAGTAACAAGCCTCCAGCTGTTTTCTCCTCAGCCTCAGCAACCTGTTTTTAGCATTTCATCCAAGACAGAGTATGTCATAGTTTTAAGGTCAGGTGAACTTTCAAAAGAAGGGAGTCTAAATAAAATTCTTGCAATAAAAAAAAGGCATTCTAGAAAAATATACACTGAAGCTTAAAATTGAAGTAGCAGGAAAATGGATAAGGTTATAGAAAGAGCTTAAGAGATGCTACTCAAAATGTCTTCAATATCGTATGTTATATTAAATATTTTCAATCATCCAACCAACCAAAAATGTACAAGGGCTATGACCAACCCTAGTCACGGTATCGGCCATCGATTCTGAGAGCTATGAGACACATCAATTAGGAGGGCGATGTGACCTAAAAGAAAATATTGAACATGACGAGAGATTCCAGTCATACTGCAGCATCACGGAATAATATCGACCGATTCAATGACAACAACTCGGCTTCTCGGAATTGACTCGAATACACTTCGGACAACTTGGCTGAGCTGTGTGAGACTCAAGGTTTATATGTATCGTGTAACGGTATCGTCACAAAAATTGTTGAGCCGGATACGACATGGCCAACTTATATTTGTATTGACTGGCACTTTGAACAGTGTTGAACAGTTCTATAGAGGGCAAAATTCTTAATGGAACCAACAGAGCTGAAATGGAAGTACCAAAAAGTAAACTGTAAGGGCTTACAAACCTTGATTAGAACTCTGTCATTCAAGGGCTTCATATCCTTAACATCATCCGTGTCAAGAATGCCAATAATGTCATCCTCCTTCAGTATGAGATGATTGGATTCATCAAACTCTACCTCAGTGCCAGTATACTTGGAGTACACTACCTGGGTACCAGTCTATACAGAGTAACATTCGGTCAGCAAATCTAATGATTGACAGAGGCATTGCAACTTAAACAGATTAAACCATACTAGTACCTTTATGCTGACATCCACCTTGTTCTTTCCAACTGTTCGACCTTCTCCAACAGCAACCACCTCACCTCCTTGAGGCTTTGTTTGTGCTGTTGTTGGCAGTAAGATACCACCTACAGTCTTCTCCTCAGCAATCTTAATTTTCACCAACACTCGGTCACCCAAGGGCTTAAGTGACGTGTACTGAAATCAAAAGAGCACCACGGAAAATGAACCAAAATATGTAAATGACATAAATCCACGAAACAAATACATTAACCCTCCCATTTATTGTTTTTGGAAGTAAGTTCAATACATCAAACCATAATACAACACTATGAAGATAACAAATTTAGAGAGGCTCCATTATTGCTAAGGGCATAGGTCTGAAATAGAAAGTCCCACAGAACAAAGACTTTGACCAATATCATTAAGCAACTGAAATGCAGCTAAGCCCAGGAACAGCATCACAAGAAGGAATGAAGTTGCAAAGTTACAATTGAGCAGAAAACAGTAAAGGTCCGAAACCAAATAGATTGCATAAAATGGGGGAAATGAGCGAATAATACAGATAAAGACCAGCAACTCAAAACTCAAAAATGGTAATGGATCCAAGATATAGTTTCCTTTCAATTGTAGCAAATGGCCTATAAATTAGACAATATCAGCATACAATGCCAATATAATCACTAAACCCTCACATTCCGACAAACAAAAAGAGAAACCAATGCACCACATCAAGATTGCTTCGGCAAGCCACTTTGAAAGCTTGATTATGAAGTCAAGAAACATGAGCACACAATATGAAATAGTTAAAAGGACCCTAAATCTTCGGAGAATACTCCTCTCTCTCTCTGACAACCCATTACGATTCAAATGCTATTACTCAACAAAAAAACTACACCAAGATAGCATCAACCCCAAACTAAGAAACCAATTCAATGTAAATAAATTGGTTGGAGGTTCGCTACTTGGAATCCACATTAGAGATCTGATTGACCGCTATGCTGCCCTAGCTAGGTTTGTTCCCGGGCACGGTCGGGCGACTCATGATCCCACCAGTGAAGTGAAGGCCCATCGGAACTTCAGTCATCAGAATATGAAGAGATCCACATCAATAATAAATACAAGAGCACATAACGTTGTAGTGTGGATTACTACCTTAGGAGCAACAACAGTGGCAGCTCTGACGACGAGAGCATGGAAGGACCTTTGGGTGAGACAACCACCGGTTCTCAAAGGTGCAGCAGATAAGACCCTGACAGTTGATGGTCTTAGCCCTTCAAATGACGGCAAAATCTTAGCAGAAATTGTCGTTGCAGTTAACTGAGCTGTCGCCATTCCTAGTGTTAAAAGGAAGAAAAAAAAACAAAAACAAATTGGACCCAAAAACAGAAACACCTATCAGATTCAATGTTACAAAAGGATGATCCAGAGGTCCAATCTAAAAAATGAAAAGCCGAAATGAAAGAAGAACCACACACACACACACACACACACACAACAATATTCAAAGCAAATAAAAAGGAAATAATTTAGTGACAAAGCTACCTTTGTGGGACTGAGAGAGATTTGGAGACTTATAGAGAATTTTTTTTTTTTTAATAGAACTTAGAGAGAAATTGAGGGAGCGGTAGATACAGAGAGTTTTAGCAACGAAGAACTGGATGGAGGAGGTACAGAGATAGATAATAAAACCCTAGGAAGTTCAATAGAGATGGGGGTTTTGCCAAATGCAAACAGATAAGACGATTCTAGAAGCTTTTCTCTTTTTTAATAGGATTAATCTCATTTTGTACCTAAAAGATTATTCAAATTTTAATTTGTACCTCCAAATATCAAAAATCTTAATTTGTACCCTCAAAGATAGAATTTTGTATCAATGTGCATCCCCAAAGATAAAAAATCTCAATTTGCACCCTCAAAGATAAAAATTTGTATCAATGTGCACCTAAAATTAAATTGATAAATTATATCTAGATTCCCTCATGTTTGTCACTTAATCATTTGAACTCCTTCATATTTAGAATATTCCTCTTACATTTCATGACGTTTGTGCATGTGTAACACATAATCACTTTTTGTTGATATCTGTTAATATAATCGTTAAAAAATATAATTTTATCCTAATAAAAAATTATAATTTCATATTATCTTTTATTTTGTGGATTCGATATACTCTAAAGTTGAAAATCAAGCTTACCATTTGAATGTTTAATAAAATATAGATATTTATATAAAATGTAATATGAAAAACATTATATAAATATTTATATTTTATTAGACATTCAAATTGTAAACTAGATTTTGAACTTTATAATATATTGAACCCATAAAATAAAGGGTAATATGAAATTATAATTTTTTATTAGGATAAATTATATTTTTTAACGGTTATATTAATAGATACCAATGAAAATGGGTTACGTATTATACGTGCACAAATGTCATAAGATGTAGGAGTAATATTCTAAATGTGAAGAGGTCTAAATGATTAAAAGATAAGTATGAGGGGATCTAGGCATAATTTATCAATTTAATTTTAGGTGCACATTGATACAAATTTCTATCTTTGAGGGTGCAAATTGAGATTTTTTATCTTTGGGGTGCACATTGATATAAATTTTTATCTTTGAGGGTGCAAATTGAGATTTTTTGATCTTTGGGTGTGCACATTGATACAAATTTTTATCTTTAAGGGTATAAATTAAGATTTTTGATCTTTGAGGGTACAAATTAAAATTTGAACAATCTTTCGAGGTACAAAATAAAATTAACCCCTTTTAATATTTACGTTGCACCTAAAAAGATTGTAGATATTTTATTTTTTACCTTTTAAATATTAAAATTTTCATACTACATTCTCAATAAATTAAAAATATTATAATAAAACTCTTTTGTCAACTTCAATTACTCATTCCCTAAAGGGGCGTTTGGATGGTGGGTTAAAGGTGATTATCCACTAGTAGGATGGGATAAAATAAGAGTGAGATTCAGAAATTCCTTGTTTGAAAAGTCATTTTTTAGGTTGAATATAAATCTCGGGTCTAGCCTAGACTCGGTTGCTACAGTACTTTGTAACTTACCTACTAAGGTTAAAATTAACCCACCCCTTCCATGGGTTACAAACTCAGCCTACATGTTAACAAGAGATCAGACATATTTACCCCCTCATTTCTCGTTGTTTCACTCTCGTCCAAGCTTCACTGATGTCGTCAACAAGGGATTGTTGCATAGAGGCAACAAAGAAGACACGAATTCAAGCATCTCCGAATATTCTTCTCTTCGTCTTAAAGGATGATTTTTTTTTTTTTTGAATATTGTTCATCTGTTGAACCCCATGCCCCAACCCATCTGATATTGTTCATCTGTTAAACCCCAAGCCCTAACCCATTGCTGAAAATGGTGTTGCTAGTATGAGTGAGAAATCCAAATGATTTTCGGTGAACAATAACAAAGAGATGGATTTGTTGGGTGATGAGAGAATAACTAGATTTATTGATGTAAAAGAGGAAAAATATGAAAGATTTTGGAAGTTGAGGGAATCAACTCGAAAGGCTTGACAGAAAATGGAGATTTGTAGAGAATGGTGGAATACCATCAAGCTCAACTTGAAAAGCTTGACAAAAATATGAAGGGATTTAATGGTGGTGGTGGGAGAGATGGAACAATGAATTTTGCTGGCAGTGGTGGTGGGATGTATATATGTGGAGATACAGACCATCAGGCAGATGGAAGGCTCTGGCTTCTGCATTTGATATGTCTGATAAAAAAGATGATTGAAGAATTAAACTTAAAACCCTAAAATTTATTATTTAATTATTCAAACTCATGGTACGTGAAATATTGCACACATATTCCCTCCAGTTTATGCGCATAACACTTAAACCTCTTAAAATAAATATATTTATTATTAAATTACCCTTAAACCCCTTTAAAGTTTGTAGTAGGTATATAATACTCAAACCTCTTAAATTTAAAATATTATATGTAGACCAAAAATACGTCAATCAGAGATAAAATATCAATTATTATTTTACAATTAAAATTCATAGTCTATTGTATTATTTATTGAAATAAAATTAAAATTAAAATTTTAATTTTTTTCTTAAAAAATCATAATTAATATATAATTATACTATCTATTGAAATAAAACTAAAAAATTAAACAAGGGGTCTAAATCGTATATAATTTTTATATGTTTTAAAATATATGTGAAAAATGTATAATTTTATTAGGATAATCCGTTAATCCAAACTTAGGATAGGATTGGAATGGATAAAGTCATGAGTACAATGGCAAATTATTACAAAATTATTTGTATAATCTATAGGGCCCACTGAATTACATATTTGTTTCCCAAACAAAGGTGGGGATTAGATATATTGCAAGGTTAGAGTTTTAAAGTAGATGCGTGGGTTTAGCTTGGATGTTAGGATATAAAAAAATAAATCCTATTCTATCCAACCCTATTACCCAAACACACCCTAAAACTTCACCTCATTTACGTCAAGGATGGGTCAAGGTAATTTGATGTCTAAAACAATAACACTAAATATTATTTTTTTTTTTTAAAAAAAATTATGTTATTTTTAATTTATTATATTAGAGAGAACAGAAGAACAATTTGCTAGTGTTATCGAAATTTTTTTTTTAACTTTTTTTTTGTTTTTTTATTAGAGAAAGAGTTTAATTTCAATTTTTTTATACATTTTTTTTTACTTATTTTTACACAAAGAGATTGTATAGGGGTAAATATAAGTTGACTTCTAAGTACTTTTTATTTTTTCAAATTATGATTTTTAGGTTTTTAATGTTATTGATTGGATCATAGATCTAAATTATCACAATAAAATTTTTATTATTTTTAATTTTTTGGGGCTCTCTTTTTTATGGTTTTAAAATTTAATAGATTTAAATTTTTTCTGGGTTAGTAAGTACCTAAAATTATGGATTCTTCTAAAAATTTGGGACCTAAAACTCAAGTTTTTTTTTAATATCATTGAGCCGCCCTTAATTTACGTTGACACAATAAACAACAAAAACTACGGAATGATCATATTACAACACTTTTAATATAGTAAGAGTATAATATAAAAATTTTAATTTTTAAGTGTACAAAATAAAAATTATTAAAGTTTTTAAGGTATAAAATATAATTTATCCCTTACTTTTACTTTCTTTCCAAAGTGCCGACGGAGGTTCCGAGGTTTGCATTTTATCCATCCATGCCTACACGAAATATTAAAATTACATAAGGTTTAACTAAACGATTAATTAGTACTGTGAGTAAAAAGTAAATGTTTTAAGATTTTATGGTAAAAACGTAAATAACATGATAGGAATTAACACCTCTACGTGGAGACTGGAGAGTGAGCTACCTACGTCACCACGCTCGGGGCTTTTCTGGATTACCTGTATTTATAGTGAAAATTGTCCCCTCGGTCTTCTTGAATGGATTTATAATGGTTTAAGTTCATAAAATAAATTTATTTTTGTGATAAATTTATTTTTTATCTTACTAATAAATACATATTTTTTTTTTAATATCAAAAATATCCTTAACAATATTATTCTGTTCAATTATAGAAATCTTAAAAATCTTGAAAATAATTTTAAATTATTTTTTAAATTAAAAATTATTATCACTTAATTTACTCCTAAATTAAAATTAAAATTCATATTCTATCTCTATCTTATTAGAAGAAGATTATCATTCTAGCACATCACTTTTTTTTCTTTAGACATCATTTCCTCCTCCATAGTATCAAAATCAGTAGAGTTTAGAATATCATTAACAATTATCGTATCTTTTACTACAGATTGGTCATCATAAACTTCTATGTTGTTGGTTTTCAAAAAAAAAATTTGAAAAACTTACTCCATATATTATTAGTTTGATCCATAATTTTTTTTTTATTTTTTTAATAAAATAATCTGTAAATTTTTTCAATGTTTCATGTTACTACTACGTTTTTTATTGACCATGTTGCTATTTTTTCTAACTAGCAATGCACTCTGTGCGTTGCACGTGAATAATTTTTTTTTAAAAAAATTAATAAATATATATTTGGTATATATGCACCTGAATTAAATATCATCTCAAATTTATCAAATTTATTTTTTCATCTCTCGTGCTCCACTATAGAAATTTTGAAAACAATGTACGTTTTCAAGATTTGTTATTCTAACTTTGAGAAAAATGATAAAAAAAAATAATAATAATTAAAGTTCTTTTTTTTCTATAATTTTGTAATTGAAAGTTATTTTTAATGATGTTTGAAAATTAAATTTTTTAAAATTAATTTGATTAAGATTCTATTTATAAATCATTGAATAAAATAAAAATAATTATCAACATGTCAATCATATTGAAACTTTACTGTATTTAAGATTAGTTAAGTCAATTAAGTTAAAATTCCATATACAATGCTATAATATATATTATAATCATATTAAAAATTTTTATTGTGACTAAAAAATCGTGTAAAACTATATATACATTATTCTATTATCTTAAAAATGAAATGGTTAAATATTTTGATAAAAAATAATATATATATATAATATTAGTCGTAATATTATCTTTATAAATGAGGCGAGTAATATTGTATTAATAGAATTTTTAAAAATTGTTTTGAATATTTTGTTAAAACTTATAATGATGCATATTTAAGAATAATATAATCAATCAAAAAGTTTTATAAAAATTAAAATTATACATAAGGAATATATAATTA